ATTACGAACTCTTCTGTTTGTTTTGATGATTGAGTTTATTCAAATAAGAAACGGCTTAGAGGTGTGAAAAATGTTCTGGACATAAGCTTTACAACGGCTTTTTAAAGGGCACTCAAAGTATTATGTGTTTAGATCTCAGCGACATTGAAAAATTGCATTTTTAAGAAAGTTAATGAATGGTTGAGAGTGACATTCTTTCCATATCCTCTTAGGCCTTACCAGTTGTACTAATGATGTTATTGCAGTAATTCGCAGTCGAGATTCTAGACGTCTATATGGATTTGTTTAGATCCTAGGTAAAATTCGAACAGATCTGATTTATTGAACATGATAAGCTTAATTAGCGTATCTATAGGGTTACCAAAGAAGTTTAGTTTAAAGTAAACGGAAAAAAGCAACCATAAAATATTACATATTGAAACATCCACCAAACAAGTTAACTGTTGCGAGCTTCTGAAGATTGAGTAGTCCATTACCTTTCATAGACGAATCTCTAGCTCTGAGCTTACATTGATTCGACGGGAACGCGGTTGTTAGCTGTTATCTATCATCTTGCTTCGTTTAGATTTATTTCATCAGAAAAGCAATAGTTGGATAGTTTATAATTCCAAACTCGCTTAGAAGGTAAACAACTTCTTTCTTTCCAGATTGACATTGAACACAACACTTGGCATGAAATGGTTGGAAGTTGCCCAACTTGCAATCAAATCAATCTTACTGGTCTTTCGAAGTAAGTGTCATGTCTTACTACGATAATTTCTAAAACTCCTATAAGTAACGTGGTACACACATTAAACCCTAGTCATCTTTCCTGCCTGATTTGCATACGGAACAAGAAAATGCAAAAGGAAAACTAAGATTTTTCAATAAAGTATTAGCACTTGTCAGCTCGTCTTTGAGCCTATATATTCATAGGCCAAAAAGATAGAAGGAGGATCTAAGTCTCAGAAGATTTCATATGGATACGGAATAACTTATCAGTACTGCTACAATTTCAGGTACTTGAACCCAATGTCGTGGGTCAACGGCGTATCTTCGCTAGGCGAATTTGTCATGATGGCCACTGACATACTCGTCTATGTCTGTGTCCTTATCGTGGTTTATGTGGTGTTGACCAAAATCGTCATTCCCATTTGCAAGTGCTGGATTTGTCCGATGTACATAATGTCTCGTTCTCGACATTCTAAATCAAAAAGAAGGGAGAAGGGCAAACGGAGAGAGGAAGAGGATGAGGGGATGAGGGTTTAGCGATTCCCTTATTGTTACGTAAACTGCCAGAGTTGCATCTCGGCGAGATCTAGGCTAAACGATGTCTCGCCTCATATGTTATAAATTTCTTCAGGTGTAATCATGACCAATTTTCTTACGTCGATGATCTGAGTGCCTTTGAAATGTGCCGATTTGTTTGTGCCAAATTATTTTATTCAGCAGTCCGAGATTCCCTCCCCATTTTGCAGAGTGTAGATTTGCTAGTCATCTATTATTTGTGCGATCTTTGCACTGTCATTGCATGCGATTGCTTCTATTAGACTAACATTTCCCTATCCGGTAGATTCATTTTTGTGCACTTGTCGGCCAACTTTCATTGTATTGTGATGTTGATTCGGGTATTTTTCATGTCTGTGCTCTTTGATATGTGATATATGTATTTTGTGATAATATGAATAAAGATTCAATTACTAAATTACCTATTTTTTGTTTAGAATTCTCCTAGCAGATAAAATTGGAGAAAAAGGGTCGTAATGTGCGTCCACGGAGAATGTGTGTACATAAACAAAATCTTGAAAACAAATAGAAATGATATCGAGTCTTTGTTGATAACTCCAATATTTCCTGAACGAAAGAGAAGATCATCCTCCTCTAAGGGATTTGTTTAATACTATACACATTGA